ACACACTCTATGCAGTGGATTTTTCTGTTTATAAAAAGGAATGTTTTATGTTACTTTCTTCCCTTTTATCTGAATGTTCAAAATATTATTCTCAACAGAGCTTCTGTATCTCCAAACCATTCTGATCAATCAAGGAAGTAGTAATCCTGAGTTATAGGTAGAAACAGTTGTGGAAAAAGCAAAAAACACCCTTTGCAAAGGTTTAATTGTTATTCTGCTTCCTCAAGAGAGACCTTCTAAAGGAAGTGGAAGAGGATCCAAGGTGAAGGTGTCACATTCTTTATGACTCTTGTGCAGTGTGAACCTAGCATTTTGACACTCTTATGTGCAATTCAATTTTTGAATTGTATTGGTTTTAAGTGGCCCAGAGTTGTTTTAAGATGGGCAGCTATACAAATGTTTTAAATAAATAAACAAACCCACCTACTCACCCCCAGGGTTTATATTTGCCTCTAGCCTTATATTTTAAGCTGTCAGCCTTACGGGGTAGACCGAATAGGAAACATAACCAGATGAGCTAATTCTACTTTATTGTAAGGTTACGTTAAGAGTATCTTGAAAGTCTGAAAGTACTTCTCCCCGCCCCCGGCATCCCCTTTACAGCCCACAAAACTAGGGAGGGTCCCTTCTGAGCCTCTTGCCCTGCCCACATTCCTGCTGTGGGCTCAGCTGCCTTTATCTGACCGTTCCCTTGGCTGCATCTTGTTGCCCTATCTCCCAAGGTCATTCCCACACACCATTACATCAGCCGTCACACGGGCTGATTACCCAACTAACTGAAAATACATCTTTATAGGCATCCTTGTTCATTTTTCCCTTGCAAAAGAAAAACTGGGAAAAAAATCACCCTGGCACGGTTATGGAGGGGATATGAGTTACAGTAGAGACAAAACCTAAGGAACGCAGGACAACTACCTTTGCTGTGATCTGTTAGAAGCTTTCAGATTGTTCCTTCCATCTTCCCCCTTCCCCTGAGAATTCATTCTGAGACAAAAGGGTGGCTTTCTGATCCCTGAAGGGCATGAAATTAAAGTAATAGATCTGGACCACCCACCTACTGCCAGCATCCCAGATTCAAGATCACCAGACATTTCTCTGCATATGCTCTTCTCAATATCCCGGTTACACATTCGCTGGTATTCACTGAAAACTGCAGAAATAGACAAAAATATTGTCAATATTTGTTCTAAGCGAAAGCATTTTGGCTACAAATCTCTGCATGTTGATTTGGGAGTAAATCCTACTGAAGTTAGTGAGACTTATTTCTGAATAGAAATGCATAGAATTGTGCCACAATTTGAGTTTAAAGCTTGGTAACCACTACCCACAGAAAATATTACAACAGAGTTCCACAATAGACTACTTTACATAAATGCTACCTTCCCTGTAACTCTGTGACACCAGAAGTGGCATCTTTCAAAGCTCTCCTTATGGAACTCTTCATGAGGAGATGAAGGTTATAGAGCACCATGGCATACCATATTTTGCCTGAAGAATCCCAATGATCACTAGATGGCAGAAAACTGATATAGAAAACTCTATAACCCTTTGCTGCTATCTGGTGGCCATGTAGAGACTTGCAGTCCAGGAACACCTAAACATGCCCCATGAATGAAAACGTCCCTTGATTTGTGTTTTTTTGAACGGAAAGGAAGTACGTAAATGCCTGTATGTATATAGATACGTGGGTATGTGTGTATATGTTTATGTTTCATGGTCCCTGAATTGCTCTGAACAGCAATTACCTAGTAAAGCTAAACTAATAAAAGAAGGTTGTAAAGGAATAAGACTTCCTTGCCCGCTATTTTGGACAGTGATGTTATGATTCCATCATCCCTTACTCTCTTCTCCAAACGGTCCCCAGACACCCATACTTTCCATCTGGGGTCTGTGAAATATTAGATTCCACTCCAGGGTTTTCTGAGAATCATTCTGAGAGTTCTTTATGGACTGAACGCTTCCAATAAACTTATTCAACTTCATACTTGCCATTTGTCTCCTCTAGCCAGAACTTCAAGACACAATTTAGATAAAAACATGTTGAGAGGCATAGCTGAACCCATCTCAAAAGAGGTGGGTTCAGAGTCAGCTATTCTGAATAAACAGTGTGCGTCACCATTAGCATTTGAGGCTCACGGGCTCTGGAAAAGCAGTGAGAACTGCAAACAAGCACGAAGTCGTAAGAAGTAAGCAAAGAACCCAACAGGATAACAAGGGTGGCATATAAATTTAATACATAAATAAATAAATAAATAAATAAATAAGTTGCAAAGGAGGACAAGCCCCCCCCCCCATTTCTATTAGATCTGTAGAAAGAAGGGGTTTCAGCTGGTACAGATCACCTGAGGCCATTTTTCTACAAATATAGCACCCTCCTTTTGTATCTTCTCAGAGTTGATTGCCAATTTCCAATAAATTCAACCAAACTACCAAAATGTCCTTGCCAAAAAAAAAAAAAAAAAGTCAATCCAACAGTAAAAAGGTGCCTATTTAAAATGGTAAAATGTTTATGCAGAAGCAGAAGCAGAAGAAACCCAGCCCAACTCTGAATTTCTAATTATCTGTTTGGAGGAACTGAGAGACTGGGCAAGTTACCTGCTCTCAGGTGAGTTCGGCTTCTTGTGCACAAGATCGCATTGAACTTGGATTCATCAGTCCCAAGTCGACTTTCTCCTGCTGCATAGAGTGCCTAAAAAGGGCAAAGCAGAGGGTCATCTCATTATCCCAACCTAATTCATTGCTCTTCTTAATTGTGCATCCTTTTGTTCTCCTGAAATTTTGAGATTAAGGCTTACTTCCTTGAACTGTTAATTGGGACAACTTTGGCCACGAAGAATGGAACTACCTGGGTAGCAAACTTGAGCTGTAGCCCAAAGTAAATGAATGGCAAAACCAACAAGATCTGTGTTACGTTTCCCCTTTTTCCTCCATAATATCCAGTAAAATTTGCATTCTGATGTAACCTAACAATTCGATCTTCTGTCCCTCCTTCATGTCACTACCTAGTCCAAGTAAGAAAATGCTTAGCACCAGAGCATTAAGATTCAGAACTGCCCCTGAAAATGGCAGCCTTGTGTTTTTACTACTAGTGCAAAACAGTTTACTACATTTTCACAAGCATGCTTTCTTCATGGGAAATGGAGCTTGGGAAGGGGTGAGTGTGTAACTAACTAATTTTCCTGCCTTAGTGGATCCCCCCAAATTGGCAAGCTTTTAAGTTTCAGTGAGGCACATTTCCCTACAACATCAACTAAAAAAGTTGCACGCATATTTTAGCTGTTTACAGAATGCTTACAGTTCTTTGTAAATATGTTCACAAGCTATCTAGGTATTATCTCGGTTATCTCTAGATCAGATAAGTTAATACAGAGAAGGGACAAAACCTTTTTGAAAAGCAAGAATTGGTGGCCAAGGGAACAGAAGGCAAACCGATGTTGAGTTATACTTAGAGAAAGGGGAATACACACCACTAAAACTGGTTTTAGATTTCATTAAAGGAAGAAATATTTTATTGTGCAAATCCTTTTAAATGTAAGTGAGAAATGTATATCAGCTGTGTACAAGCACTAACCTGAACATCGCTCTGGACAAGCGACATGTCCACATTGGTACTTTCATCTCGGTTCCCCTGGAAAACGTTCCAAAAATGACGAATATTAAGACACAAACTACAACTTAAAACACATACACGTTATGTTCACACACAACTCAGCACACTGTTGCTGAGATTGCTGGTCAAGCCAATGGGTTTACACTGCCAGAACATTATCCCATTTAGCATGTATATCTGTTTCTGTGATGATCCCATCATTACACAGTGAAACACTGAAAATGCATTTTTGCACATACAATCAACATACTCTGTCCAGTTCTCAATCTTATCTTGATCAAAGAGGAGGGAAGGAGATACTGCAAAGTCTTAAAGAAATAAGCCCTCAGACAACCAAAATGTCACAATCAGGTTTAACTGAAAAGCAATGAATTGATGCATTACAGATAAAAAGGTAAAGGCTCCTTCAGGTAGAGCTTAATTCTTACACAGACCCATGCGTGTAATTTTCTTGGCAGCAAATCAGAACCATGGATCTTTTCTGGGATTTTTTTTTTACTTTCCATCCAGCTTCAACCCTGATTTCCTGATGGTCTTCCACCCAAGTACTGCTTAGCTTTTTCAAGGTCAGTGAAAGTCAGCTAGGCGTTACCATCTGCTTTGACCAATCCATGCATTAGGATTATGAAAAAGATTCAATTTGAGTCTCA